AATAAATCTATCATGATGTATGAAGATACCAGAATTCAATTTCCAACGTCAAACAAAGTAATCAATCAAGAAAATTTTAATGACGCAAATTCAACATCTAATCAACAAAATGGCAGCAATTAATATGGGATTAATATTCATGAAATTAGATATGAAAATACTAACCAAAATACTGCAATGACAGAGGAGGAGAAAACTCGTTACTTCATGTGAATAGATCTAAATGCCCTTGTATCCAAATTTCCTCTCCAGGTGTTTCCGTGATAGAGGATTTGAATGATGAGCCTTTCTATTCATCGCAGGTCCCGTTCAACGGGCCAACCGGTTCACAAAGAAAATATTAAGTTGTAACGTATAAGGTTTGGGATGACCGGTCTGTTCATCATCTCCGAAACATGTTGGAGAAGTTAATCCCCCTGTAGTATTCCTAATTGAAACGAAACTTCAGAAATGAAAGATTGAGCACGTTAGAAGAGTCTGCAGTTACACAAATGGAATTTATGTTAATTCAATAGGTAGATGTGGTGGCTTATCTTTTAGCTAGAAAAGTAATATTAAGATTTCTTTGCGTTTATATTCGGACAGGCACATTGATGTTATGATTGACAAAGGTGGTGATGGAAAATCATGAAGATTGACGGGATTCTACAGTGCTCCTGAAGTACGTAATAGAATGGATTCATGGCAGTTTCTTGAACAACTTAATGATTCGCCAGATATTCCATGGTGTGTTTTTGGAGATTTTAATGAGATCCTTTCCTTAGCTGAAATACATGGAGGTCTTCTTCGAAGTGAGTGGTAAATAGATAATTTTTGTAACGTTCTTCTTGAATGTAACTTAGAAGATTTGTGTTATAAGGGAAACTGATTCAGTTGGGAGAGAGGTCACATTTCAACAAACAATATTAGGGAACGACTTGATCGTGCAGTGGTGACCCAAATATAGTTGAACAAATTCTCAAATTATCGGGTGGACCATCTTACACATTCAATTTCGGATCATTGTCCTGTTCTTATCAATTCAGACCTCCCACTTAATATTCTCGGTATAGTTTGACACTTTCGTTTTGAAGCCGTCAGGCTATTGAAAGACTCTTGTGAAGCCGAAGTCAGGAAACACTAGAATTTTACCTTTGGAATAGTACCTGAACGTCTTCGTTAAATATGTTATGCTTTGGATGGATGGTTCAAGAAAATCAATAAGAATAATAATATATCAATCAATGCCCTTAAAAAGAGACTTGCAGCCCTTAATGACCAACCATTTTCTGATGAGACTCTTGGTGAAATAATTGATGCAAAATTCGCCCTTAATTTAGAATTAGACAAAGAGGAACTAAGAACAACGAGCGTGCGCAAACTGGCTCAAAAATAGGGACAAAAAAAAAAATTCTTCCATAAGTTTGCTTGCCAGTGGCACCGAAATAATAGAATTGAGGGATTGGTTTCAAATAATGGCCAATTTTATGAGGATGAGGAGGCTATCCAAACTATTTCTATGAACTATTTTTTCAGACCTTTTCAAATCTTCCAATTTGGACGTTAATAAGGGGGCTTTATATGGTATCAATCATTGTATTTCTTCTACTATGAATGATGATCTGATGAAATAATTTACATATGAAGAAGTTACTGCAACACTTCGCTCCATGAACCCTATGAAAGCAGCAGGGGAAGATAGTATGGGTGTCATTTTCTACCAAAAATTTTGGCACATTTTAGGAGTTGATGTGTCCAACTATTGTACTGAAATCTTAAATAATCTCTTAGAACCGAATCACACTCGCATTGTTCTTATTCTAAAGATCAAGAATCCCAGAAACGTGTCTCAATTTCGTCCAATCAGTTTATGCAATGTACTTCTCTAAATCATCTCCAAAATGTTGGCCAATAGACTGTAACCTATTCTCAATCAGTGTATAGATGAAGCCCAAAGTGCGTTTATACTTGACAGATTAATCATTGATAACGTCATGGGAACATATGAAGTCTTTCATTCTATTAAGAAGCGACGAACAGGAAAACATGGCTTATTTTCTCTAAAACTTGATATGAGCAAAGCATATGATCGAGTCGAGTGTATCTTTATTAAATCAATCATGTATAAAATGGGGTTATGCATAGGTTGAATTCGGCGTATAATGAATTGCATGACCTTTGTGTTTTATTCCATAATGGTGAATGGAAATGTGGGTGATAAAGTCCAGCCATCGCGTGGTGTTTGACATGGTAACCCACCCAGCCAATAATTTTTTAATTTATAGCGAAGATCGTTCTTCACTTATTCATACGACCACTATAAATAATTGGATGAAAGGGGTGATAATAGCCAGAGGTGCACCTCCGATTACCCACCTATTTTTTGCTGATGATAGCCTCATTTTCGGGACAACAAATGAAGGTGAGGTCCATTTTTAAAGACTATTCTAGTCAACATATCAATTTTGAGAAATCCCATATTTTTCAGCCCATTTGTGGCTGTTTTGATTGCTTTTGATGTTTGCCAAAATTTGGGGTCCAAATAGTTAACGACCTTGGTTATTATCTTGGTTTACCTTCCATGGTTGGTTGCGAGAAGAAGAAATCATTTCTCAAATTGAAAGATAAGTTTAATTGGCGAATACAAAGCTGAAGCACTCGTCTTTTATCAATTGGAGGATATGGGATTTTCATCAAATATGTGCTCCAACTTATCCCCATCTATGGAATGTCATGTTTTCTCTTAACTAATAGTTTCTGTAAAGAATTAGAGGTCACCACAGCTAGATATTGGTGGCAACAATTGGCTAAGAAGGACATCCATTGGTGTACTTGGGATGTGCTTTGTAAGCCTGAAAATAAAAGGGGTATGGGCTTTAGAGATTTTTGTAAGTTTAATATTGCACTTCTCGCGAAGCAGGGGTGGCGTTTTATTTCTAAACCTAATTCACTTGTGGGAAGGTTACTATGTCTAAATATTTTCCAAACTTATATTTTCTTCAAGCTCCTTTTGGATCCAATCCCTCTTTAGTTTGGCGGAGCATATGGAACGCCAAAGGTTTACATGAAAATACCTACAATTATAAGATTAAAGATAAAATACATCTTGACAAACAAAATTAAATCTTTACCGCAAAACATTTAATGTTTGAATATTTATTTTTTAAAACAACATTCTATATCGGCACCATTTCACGATAACCATTGAATTACAATTAAAATTGTCTTAAAATATTTGAAAGGTATATTAGACTATAAATTAGTCTTTATTCCTAATTTAAGTACAACTTTTCTTATTTATTGTGATGTTGATTGTGATGATAATTAAGATGATGGTTGTTTTATATATAAATTTTGTATTTTTTCTCATTTCAGATTATTATCTTATAAAGATCTAAGATACAAAAATCGGTCTCTCGATCTATAACATAAATATAACACAATAATATAATTGATTCTACGTCTAAAATAATATTATTAAAATTAGTGTTAGATGAGCTTTATATTATTTTCAAATAAGTTGTCAAAATTTGGTGCGACAACACCAACACAAACCTACCTCGGTTATCAATCTGATCCTCCAGGCCAAAACCAAACATGTAGAGTTAAGTGTTCATTTTCTTCTAGACAAAATCATTGACAAATCAAATAAAAAACCTTTCTCATTATTTTTAAGATACTCTATAACAAAGCGTTCGTTCACCAATTGTAAAATAATTACATACCAGCTCAACTTCAATTTACAAATACATTAATTAAAACCTTTTTTGGATAAGTCAGATTATATTATCCAAAGAACATAGTCAGATACAAAATTACAATCAGAGATCCGAAACAAAAAACAAATACTTACAAAAGAATCAATGATCTTCTATACCCCAATGAATGCATATAGTAATATTAACATTATCTATTCTATTGAAAATTTCCCCTAGGTTGCAGACTAACAGTATCTTTAATGGCCTTTATAATTGCTTCTGCAGACTTTGCTCGGCTTTGGAACACCCTTTTGTTTCTCTCTTCCCAAATCATGTAAATGATGGCATTGAGAGCTAATATCATGACCACCGTGAGTAATGATTTTCCTTTCCACATAGAGCAGGCCCGTGCCATGAAGACCTCCCAGGAACAGATTGGAAATTGTAATCCAGACAGTGAAAACACTGCTTTCCAAATGGTGACAGTAGTAGAGCATTTGAAAAAAAGATGCTCTCTAGTTTCTAGATCAGAATTGCAGAGAACACAATGGCTTTCGTTGATGAGTCCAATGCGCAACAATCAGTCCTTTGTTGGGAGCTTATCGAGGAAAGCCATCGAAGTTATCAGGCTGTGTTTGGGAATATGCAGGGGAAACCATAACAGTTTCTGCCAAGGGACTTTAACCTTCTTTTCACGAAGAGAGTCCCATATTTTACTAACTTTACTATCAGCTGGAGTAAGAACTTGGTGAGCCTCGATTCTGAGTTTAAGGAGTTTCTTGAGACTTCAACTAGCAGAGGTTTTAATGTCCACATACCAGGAATATTTCTCCTTAAAAACATAGTGGTTAAGCCAAGCAATCCAGAGGGATCCTTCCCCAACAAGAATGTTTATACTAACTGAGATCATACAAGCTTTATTCCAGGATTTCATATCCTTGACCCCGAGCCCTCTTTCTGATTTCAAGAAACATAAATTTTTCCAACTCACTATTGCTCCAGTAGCAGCTTTTTCGGACCCTTTCCAGAAAAAACGGGAACAGAGTTGCTCTATTTTCTTTAAGACGAAACTTGGTTGGAAAAGTTGTCTACACCAGAAATTAGAGATACTGGACAACATAGACTTGATTAGCTCTAATCTTCCTGCATAGCTAAGGTTTTTTGTGGACCAGTGGTGCAGTCTAGATTTTATGCTATCTATAAGGACCACACAATCCTTTTCTGAGATTTTCCTAGTGATCAGAGGAATACCTAAGTATCTTACAGGCAGAGAACCTAAGTTGAAGCCAGAAGTTTATTTAATGTTCTCAATTACTCCAGTAGTCATACCAACAACAAAAACTCACTTTTAGAAGTATTTAGTTTAACGCCTGAAATATCGTAGAAGTAATCTAAAACAGCAGTGACACTAATAACAGATTCCTCATTCCCTTTGCAAAAGATGAGAAGATCGTCAGCAAAGGATAGATGTTTTAGACCTATGTTTTTGTATTTGGGGTGATAACCGAACACACCTCTTAAAGCATCCAAGTTAAAGAGTCGTGAAAGAATATTCATAGAGAGAATAAATAGTAAAGGAGAGATAGGGTCTCCTTGTCTTAAGCCCTTAGCTCCCTTGATGTAACCATACAAGCTTCCATTGACAGAAATAGAGTAACTTGCCGTTGAGAAGCAAGTGGTAATCCAGTTGACAAAAAGCTTTGTGGAGATCAACTTTCAAAGAGCATATGGGAGATAAGTTCTTTTTGTTGTAGCCTCTAACTATTTCTTGAGCAATAAGGGTGTTTTCAATGATGCTCCTACCTTTAATAAAAGTGGTTTGGTTGAGTGTAACCAAGTCAGGCATGAGAGTTGTTAGTCTTCTGACAATGATCTTAGAGATGGCTTTATACACCACAGAGCAACATTAAATTGGCCTAAAGTCCTTTACCTTACTTGGTTTTGGGATTTTAGGAACCAATGCAATAACTGTAGCATTGAAAGCGGGACAGAGATAAGAATCAGTGAAGAAATAGGAGATGGCCGCTACAACATCTCTTTCAATAATAGGCCATGTGGATTTAAAAAAGTGAGGGGAATACCCATCAAGCCCCGGAGCTTTTTCATTGCCTTGGCTGAAAAAAGCATCTTTGATTTCCTCTTTTGTAATATTCTTCACAAGAGCTTCAGCCTTGTCAACAGAAAAGGAAAACTGAATTAAGTCCTTCAGCTGGTTTGTGGAAATTTCTTTGACTGTAGGATCAACAGTGCCTATCAAATTGGAAAAGAATTTAACCACCTCAGCTGACATTTGGTCATAGGTTTCAAGCCAGTTACCATTCTCATCAATGAGAGTGCGAATTGTGTCTCTTTTGTTTTTAAAAACAACTGCAGAATGAAATAATCTGGTGCATTTATCACCCTCCTTCAACCATTGAATCTTTGTTTTTTGTCTGAAGAACAATGTTTCAGCTTCCTCCAAGTTTTTCAATTCGTTTTGAAGGGATATCTCATTTTTGATGTCTTCCTCTCCCTTTAATGTTTTGAGTTGTTGCTGCTCTAGCTCGGTTTTCTTTTGCTTTACCCTTGCTGGAAGGTCACTAAAGCATATGTGATTGAGGTTCTTAAGGCTAAATTTCAATCTCTTAAGTTTAGAGAAAAGAATCTGCATATGATTTCTATTGGCAGATCTAGACCATAACTGTTTAACCACTTCCATGAAACTCGGGTGATGGGTCTAATAATTGAAAATTTTAAACGATTTAGGTCGATCAACTTGAGCTTCTTTAGAGAGCCAGACTTGAGCAAGACAATGGTCAGAGGTACCAGGGGCTTGGAATTCAACGTGCGAGTCCTTAAAAGAGGATACCCATTGAGGGTTAACAAGAACTCTATCGAGTTTCCTTGCAAGGAAGGTGCTCTGTTGCTTGTTACTCCATGTGTACGTTGGTTCAAGAAAAGGGTGATAAAAAAGGTCAAGATCAGTGAGTGTTTCTTGAAAATCTCTCATGTTTGAAGTAAATAAAGGGCCAATGAGGTCATAGTCTGAACTTTCGTTTGAGTGGAGAATAACGTTAAAATCTCCACCAATAATTCATGGAGTAAGGCCAACAGTAGATTGGAGGTCGCGTAAATGCTGCCAGAGAAGTCTTATGGTAATTCCGTCATTGTTTCCATAGACTGCAGAGATGGCAATTCCCTCGGATAGAAATATAGTGGTCTGAAGATTGAATTAACGATAAGTCCAAATCCTTCCTCCAAGGAATCTATATTCTACCATTTAAGGCCTGGTCATAGTTAGTTTCTGCATTCTAGCCAGAAAAATTGTATCCTAAGATAATTACAGACTTTTCTTCCTTCACTCTTGTCTCCATCAAACAGAACACATCAATTTTATTTTGGTTAGCTCTTCTAATGACTTTTGCTTGCTTATGAGGACAGTTGAGTCCTCTTACATTCTAAAAAACTAGGTTTATTGGGATGGAGTTTCCATTTTATCCCCTCCACCACCAACAACAGAACTCTTTTGGCTATCTTGTTTTTCTTTCTTTTTCGACTTAAGCTCCTTTACTATGGCAGCTACTCCTTTTGAAGAAGCTCGAGGTTTTTTCTGAATTTTCATTGAAGCAGGAGAAATTTCCTCAGTATCATTTAGAATCTGGAATCTGTTTGAGGAACCTTAAATATCTATTTTTGATTTCTCTTTGGCAGACCTTCCTCATCCTTTTTTAGGAATGGTCGAGGAAGATTCACTTTTGTTCTTGTAAGTTTCTACATTTGGGTTTGATCCACTATGGAGAGGGCTTGATGAGCCTCTTTTTGCTCTATGCTTTCCTTTGTTAGATATTTGACTTGAGAATCAATTGCAATAGAGACAGTATGATCTTGTTGATCTTCAATTTGTTCATTTCTTCCTTTGGCAGAATCATCCTCAGCTGTACAATTGATTTTACTCTCTTGCAGCAGTTCAATTCCACCAACTGAAGGTTCTGTCTCGACTACACTTGTAGATTTCTCTTTTTTCCTCCAAATTAGATTTTTTGCAGCAACATAATTTTTTGATTGCATACAACCTTTTTCATTGTGGCCGAAAATATTACAATAATTACACCGAGCTGGCATCCAAGGAACTTCGACTGTTATTGAGACCTTTACTCCATTCTTTAATTCCACTTCAACATGATCAGGAATAGTGTCATTTGCTCCTACTTTGATACAGAGTTTAGCGTATTCTAGGTATGTTTTAGAAGCAGTGACTGTGTCCATAAAAAGTGGAATGCCAATTGCACTACCTATATAGTTGAGTCCTAAGCGATAATATAACTCAAGGGGAATATTGTAGAGGTGAACCCAAATAGCCAAGCTAGAAAGATCGAAACTTAACTTTTGAAGACTAGGTTCCCAATTTCTTAAAATAAGGGGCTTGTTCAAAACATGCCAAGGTTCGTTTTCAAGGACCCAGTCACGAGCAGTAGCAGAAGAGAATGAGAAAATATATAAATTGTTTCCAGCAATACTCACCTGGACTTGCGCACCCACCGTAGCTTTCCTCCACAAGTTATTAACAATTCTTTGCAATTAAGAGAAGCTCGGAGCAGGACCAAGAAATTATCCCACGAGAGAAAGGTTCCACTATTTAATTCCAGAATCAAGCACCTCTTTTAGGGGATGAACTGTTGTGGTACCGTCGCAAACCCTAGGGGGTGAAATTCCAAATTGTGACCTTCAGAACATCCAAATAACTTTCTCTAATCCATGGGATTTCATGTGAGGCAGAAAGGGAGACGAAAGCAGTCTGAGCAAAGAGAAGACTCCGTGAAAGAGATGAAAGAACACCCAGGAACGTCGGAGACACAACGAAGAACCCTGAAATCGTTAACTCTACTAACGTACACCCAGAGAAAACTTATCGTGCGCCGACAAAATACTTTTTAATTTATTTTACTATTAAAACCTTACTAGTCATTGCGTCTCGTCAAAAAATAAGTTTATTTTAGAAATAAAAAATTATCATCGTACTTAAATAAAATGATAATCAGATGAACGAATTTTATATAAATAAGTTATTATTTTTATTTGACATATGCAATACTCTCGTAATGTTGAAAAGATAGGGAAATTAAAATGAAAACTTTTTTCTTCTGTCAAAGTTCGTCCGTTCTCTTCTTTTGTAATTTAGCAAACATTTTTGAACTATAAAAGGGTCAATCTTAAACAGAATCTCAAATGTTTTTTCAACACAAAATCTAAATCATTTAAATAACACTAATGATTAGACAATTTTCAACTAGTATTTATTTATTTATATTTTATCGAAATTCAACTAACATTTATGGAGCATATGATTTTTTTTAAGTGTAGGTAAATAACACAAGATCGAGGAACGTGGACATGTTAAAAGGGCATTAAATATTGATATCAGATTCGCTATAAAGGAATTTAATGGGGAGCATGAGTAATGCGTGAAGCGCGTGACACACATGCCTTTAAGGCAGCGTGATAAGTAACAGTGACCTGGAGCAATGGTGCCTGGGTCTGGCCAGCATAAATAGACAAATAATTGTAGTATTGAATGCACTTACCCTCTCCCTCTCTTCTCACACACACCACACCAGCATCAACACTGGGGAGAAAGAAAGATTAGATCTTTTTAGTCAAGTTTTAGGAGGGAGAATCCAAACAAAGAAGAAAAGAAACGAAAGCCTTCCAAAAGAGTCCGATTCATTACTGGACGGGCCTTGAAGTGAAAAGAGGGGACCCCGATATTATAAACTCTTTGCTTCTTTGTCTTTGGGCACAATTCTTTGCTTTAGCCATTGAAGAGATTATCGCAGAGGAGAAAACAGAGTTGGAAGAAGAATGTTTGCAGCGGAGAATGGACTCAAGGGTGACCCAAGACTACAAGCCATATCTGACGCCATTAGAGTGGTTCCTCACTTCCCAAAACAAGGTTTTTTTTAATACAGAATTTCTTTGTTATTGAGATTGAATTTGTTTTCTTAGAGGATCTTTGATTAATCTCGTTGCTTGTTTGAATGGTATGTAGGGATTATGTTCCAAGATATAACAACCTTGCTGCTGGATCACAAAGCGTTCCAGCATACCATCGACATCTTTGTCGATCGCTACAGAGACATGGATATCTCTGTAATAGCTGGTACTCTGCATCTTGTCTCTTCTTCTCAAACACCCTTTTCTCTGGTTCTTATTTAAAAAAAAATAGTTAAAACTGAAATTTTGTTTCCGTGTTTTCTGCTTGTACTTTTACTTCTGTAATAATTATATTTCTTTAGGAAATAATTTCCTCAGTGAACTGGTCTTTTTACCCTCGACTATTATTTTCTCGTAGTTCTGTTTTATCCTTATCGTTTCTCTTATTACTATTTCGGGTTGCTTTTCTTTAATTCTGAGTTTAATGTTGCAAATTTATCTGTAGGAGTCGAGGCTAGAGGATTCATGTTCGGTCCATCAATTGCCTTAGCTATTGGTGCGAAGTTTGTTCCTCTGAGAAAACCCAAAAAATTACCAGGTGGTGTTATGTATCAGCGAGGGCTGAAAATCTGGATAGCTTTTAAAAAATGTGTAATTATATTGGAGTACAGAACCGACTGCTTATATTTGTATATATGTAGGTGAAGTAATTGCTGAAGCTTATGAGTTGGAGTATGGAACCGACTGTTTGGAGATGCATGTCGGGGCTATCCCCCCTGGAGAACGTGTTATAGTTATTGATGACTTGGTCGCAACAGGGGGAACCCTGTCAGCTGCCATAAGACTCTTAGGTAAAATTTGACATTTTTCTTCTTCTTCTCAAGTTTATGAATGATTACCATAATCTCTCATATAACATGAGGTTACTGTTTAAATAGAACGTGTTGGTGCTGAAGTTGTCGAGTGCGCTTGCGTTATCGGGCTCCGTGAGGTCAAGGTAAATCCTTCCCTCCCTGGTTTTAAAAAATTGTGACAAGTTGAAAGATTTTGAAAAAGAACTTTGTGATGTTTGCGGTAATGAAATTTCTTCCAATGCCGCATTTGTCCAACTGGATTGAAAAGTAATGATCGATGGCATGGCGTTGATTGTGTTGGATTTTTCAGGGGCAGCGCAGGCTTAATGGAAAGCCACTCTATATCCTTGTGGAACCACGGGAAATAGATGGTTGTTGTTAAGGTATTTATGTTCCTATCCTGGATTTGCAGCAGCTATATTATCTCGATACTTGTAAGAATGGTAGAATTTAGTGGTCATTTTTTGTATGTGTGTTGGACCTTGGTAACTGATATATGGTCGACTATCTCCTTGCTGTTTTGCAGAGAAAAAACGACAGCAGCTTTTTGCTGGTTAATTTTCGTCTCCTAATTGTTGGCCAAGGGAATTTGTCCCTTCACAAGGCTCATTTTGTAGGATTCTTTTTTCTTGTTAGATTTGTGTATCTTTTTCCCAAGGCTTGAAATTATGTTCCCATCTACAAACCACAAATCGTGAATGAAGAAATGCTGTTTCTCCTTGCACATTATTTGCCATTAACTGTGATTTATCTCCACCCTTAAATGATCAAATATGCAGAATGTGTTTATGCCAAACAAAGTATCCGAATTCGGCATTTGAATTCAAATCCGCATGTACTGCAGCAAGGGGCACCGGCGTTTCAAGTAAACTTTCAGATGGGAGAAATATAAAACACTGCCTCCCCACTTCTGCAAAACTCAAAACACGGTAGCGTGCAAGACGATGCATCTTCTCTGCAGTACATTTATTGGAATAGACGGAACCATAAATTTCACAAGTAATGCAGTTGTGTGATTGATTACCGGTGACTCTTATGTAGATAGAGAGGGACATAAAATTATACTAATTTTTTATGGGTGAAAATAGGTTATATAAAGAAAATATTTTAAATACATATATATAATAATTTAAGAGACGATTCTCTCATTTACTCGATACACCCTACAGACAACGTCGGAGTTGCCTTGCAATGGAGGTGAAATAACGGCATCTGTTCATCGCAAGTATTTGATTTTGCCGAACTTTTAGTTTTTCAAACATCTTAAGAATATATTTAAATAAATATATATCAACATTTTAATATAAATAATTAATAATTCATTTATTCAAGAAAATAAGAGATGTATGATTAAATCCTAGAGTTTGTTTAAAAAAAATAAAAATAGTTAATTTGTTGGGTTTAATAGAACGCCGAAGTTTTCTAATGTGGATGGAGAAAATGCCAAGTCGCGTTCCTTCGTTTCCTTCTATAATAAAGGCGCTCACTCTGGGAGTCCACTAGTCCCCCTCTCACCTGTCCCATCTTCGTAACTCAATGCCAAAAGTTTCCACTTTCCTTAATTCAATTTTTAATAATGCTTTTCATTGTTTATAGTTCTTATACAAGCTGATTAATTGAACGACTAGATTAGAAGGAGAACTTCAATGGGGGCAGCCTTTGTTTCCATTTTTTTTGAATGATCTGTAAATTTGTTCAGCATCCAGCGAAAGTAATCAATTTAGTGTGAGGGAGAAGGTACTGTGTTCATGGATACATCGGTCGAAGCGATATAAAGAAGAATTTAGATGGCGATACTGTACGCTCTGGTTGCGCGTGGATCGGTGGTGCTGGCGGAGTTCACGGCGGCGTCGACGAACGCAAGCTCCATTGCCAAGCAAATTCTAGAGAAAACAACTGGAGACAACGACATTAACGTTTCGTATTCGCAAGATCGATACATCTTCCACGTCAAACGCACCGATGGGCTCACTGTTCTTTGCATGGCAGACGAAAGTGCCGGAAGTAAGTCCATTATCTTTTCTTTTATTTTTTTCTTAAAGCTGAACTATATTTGATTAACGGGACATGATTACGTTTCAATTTCAATCGCCAAGTATTTTCGATTGTTCCAATTTAAAGGAAAAATAAGATAAATTTAGGTGATTGATTAAAGTTCAAGTGTACAATTTCAATTCTAGAACGGGGAAATGGTTAAAAAAAATCTTTTGATTTTTCACGAATCAAATCGAGAATTCATAGTTAAGAATATTCTTTGGTTAGCAATTACTGTGTGATCTCTTCTTTGTTAAGAACCCTTTTTGTCCAATGTTTCTGCTGATGAACATTTTCTTTGGCAATGGTGAATGTGTTTATTGTACTTTTTGCAGGGCGAATTCCTTTTGCATTTCTGGAAGACATGCACCAGAGATTTGTCAGGACATACGGCCGAGCGGTATTTTCAGCCCTTCCCTATGCCATGAACGATGAATTTTCAAGGGTTTTGAGCCAGCAAATGGAATATTACTCCAATGATCCTAATGCTGATAGGATAAATCGCATAAGAGGTGAAATGAATCAGGTAGGTTTTAAATGCTTGAAACTTATTTTCTCTTTGCTTCGCATGAAAATAAAATTTCTATTTTGATCTGCTTCCAAACTCCAATCATTTGGCATGTTATATTTAAGGGAAGCCCTAAAATAACTGCAATTATGGCCTTTTCGCTCAAGAGCATTCAACTTACATTTTCTTTTTGACCATAGCCTAATGATTTCTTTTCTACTCTAATAGGTGCGAAGTGTTATGATAGAGAACATCGACAAAGTTTTGGAGAGAGGTGATCGCCTAGAATTGCTGGTTGACAAAACTGCTAATATGCAAGGAAATACCTTTCGCTTCAGAAAGCAATCGCGCCGTTATAAAAACACAGTGTGGTGGAGAAATGTCCGGTTTACGTATGATTTCTGAACTCTAACCGTATTTTGTATGTTTACATGACTACATTGAGTTTGGAAGTTAAAGTTACTTAAGAACTGCATAATTTTCTCATAAACTTCCTTGAAATTGCAGTGATTCTAGGATGTGTGAATTGATCACTTACTGACTTGCTCGGCACATTGCAGGGTTGCTCTCATAATCTCCCTCCTGATTATTGGTTATATTATGCTTGCTTTTGTTTGCCACGGGTTCACGCTACCTTCCTGTATCTAAAATGGGGTCAACAGTTTGAGAGATTCAAACACAGTCTGCAGCCCCATGCCCCTTCTCCCTCCGTTTCGATATACTTTGTTCGTTTTTCCTAGTCTCTGCTTGGGGATGTTTCTGTTACAATATCCTCTGCAATGAGTCGTATTTACCTTTTTGTTTATTCAATGTTCCTATGTGAAGAGCTAGAACTTTCATGCGGCACTCAATGTTTCTTCATGGAACTTGAAACTGGTTGGTATTTGTCTTTGACGACATGCTTGATTATTCATATTTATTCCAAGACAAATAGAAAATATTTTTTTTTCAAAAGTATACTTATCTTCATTGATACTCTTATTTTGCATACTATAAAGTTGATTTAGCTAATACAAACATCAATGGAGTTATGCGCAAGTCATTCATGAGTGTTTTCGCGGGCACCAGTTGCATGTCTTCCTGGCATTTCGTTTGAAGCTCAATGAAATCTCTAGACCAAAATGCAAGCATATTAAAAATACAACTGATTTAATTCTTTTAGAAAATAGAACTAAATTACATTGAAACAAAGAAATAGAATAAACCATTTTATTATTATAAAAAAGTACATACATATTATAACTGTGATTTACACCGGCATATTCATATTTTATATGCAAAATATATTAATTACCCAACTCGTGAGCAATGAGTCGAACACTAATTTTTTTTAACGAGCATGAGTCGAACACTAATTTTTTTTAACGAGCACGAGCCGAACAAAATTTTAATGAGCTTAACATGTTACTAGCCAAATCGAACAATAAATTTTTTTAACGAGTGTAGGTCTAGCATTACTTAACTCGCGGTTAACTCGCTTGATAAACAATCTCCTCCCATTTTATAATTTTTAAAGGATCCTTTATTTATTAATCATTCATCTTTTCCGTACATTACAATGGGGGCTATTTCGCATCATTTTAATCTACATACACTTTAAAGCCCAATACAAGTTATTGTCTAAGAAAAGGTAAATTAATATAAGACTAAAAAAGGTATAATCGGAAATTTAAAAAGAACCTTAATAAAATCGATTTAGTGCAATTAAAAATGTTAACTTATACCTAATATATTATATTACAATGGGTATCTTATCGATACTTTTTCACAAGTATCAATATTTTTGAATTTTAAAAAAAATTAGAAGGCTGTAAAGTATCAATACTTTTCTACAGATATCGATGCTTTCGAATTTTAAAAAAATGGAAAATGAGAAAAATGCAAAGTTTCGATATTTTCCCACAAATATCAATACTTTCAAATTTAAAAAAAAACATAGAAAATGAGAAGAATGCAAAGTATCAATTTAAAAAAAATATCGATATTTTGATATGATGGTCGATACTTTAGCATTTGATGAATGATAAAATATCAATATTTTTTTCTATTATGTTTGATACTTTAACATTTGAGAAAGTTGATGGAAATTAAAATATCGATACTTGTTTATTTGAAAAAATTGTTCAAGTTAAGATCAAAAGTTAATTATTTGAAATTTTTCATTAAAATATCGTTGTAAAAATATCGATAGTTTAATAATAATTACAATTTAACCGGTTAAAATAAACTAGACGCAACCTAACATATTACATTAAACTAGCTACTGATTTGTTTAAAGGTATAATAATAATGTAAATGGTAAAATATTTACAACTTAATCGATTAAAATAAAATAGGTGAAACCTATTACATTAAACTGGCTATTGGTTTGTTTAAAGGTATAATAATAATGTAAACGGTAAAATATTTACAACTTAACCGGTTAAAATAAAATAGGCGCAACCTACAATGTTAAACTAGCTACCGATTTGTTTAAAGATATAATAATAATGTAAACGATCAAATATTTATAACTTAACCGGTTAAAATAAAACAGAATCAACCTATTACGTTAAACTATTACCGGTTTGTTTAAAGGTATAATAATAATGTAAACGGTAAAATATTTACAATTTAACCGGTTAAAATAAAATAGATGCAACCTATTATGTTAAACTAGCTACTGGTTTGTTTAAAGGTATAATAATAATAATGTAAACAATAAAAATATTTACAACTTAACCGATTAAAATAAAATAAGCACAAACTATTAAGTTAAACTAGCTATCGGTTTGTTTATAGGTGTAATAATAATGTAAACGGTAAAATATTTATAACTTATCTGGTTAAAAAAAATTAGGC